TTCTGAAAACCCCATGGTTTTTTGGAATCAATAGCAAAATTACAGTTTGGGAAAAAGTGCAAAAGCGCACAAATTGTTTTTTTAAACCCAAAGTTAACCAGGAAAAATTAATGAAAGTTTGGGTTTTGACTTTTAATTTTTTTTTGAAAGTTCGGGTTTGGGACAAGATCAAAATGAACCCCCTTTACTAACGTATAAACAGAAAAGACAAACCCCAATCACGCAAAGCGGGACCCTCTCGCCCATTTTTATAAAATTAAATAATTTTCCCAATTATCTCAAAACTTCACGTGGCAACACGTGGTCATGGTATTGGTTTGTCTATGTTATCCGGGGATAAAGCCATGGCAGTTTGCACTTCCGTGTTGTCTGATTAGAATCTATACTACAATAGGCATCAATTTGATAACTAATTTTACATCGAAATCCCTAAAACTTACAACTGCCAGTTACAGATTTTATAGCAATAAATTTAAGAAATTGTAAGATTTAATACTAACATTAATAATATTTATTGTTTTATTAAAAAAGTTAAACTATGAACATATTAAAAGAAAAATACAAATGAACAGAAAAAAATCATGCATGCAAATAATATATAACCAAACATAAAAATACAATATGTACATCTGTATATCAAAGATATGATTAAATATTGACGGATTGTAAATATTATTTCTGTCGTATCAAATTATTGCTTATTGGTAATAAAGTGTGTTCAGAGATAATAAATGGGGAAAATAATCCCCGAACCAAGAAGGAACAAACAAAACTTGTATTCTATATCTGACCTCCGGAGAGAAAAATATTATATATACATGCGCATGTATAAATCTACACATTTCCTGATTTGAAATGTGAAATACACGATAATACAACAGTTATTGTATCATAGTTCGGAGACATTTCTGTTGAAAATGTGTCAGGGTTAAATCGTATAAATATACATGCACCGTGCGTTAACTGGAGTGCGGGTATTAGTTACCCGCACTCCAGAGCATGCCCATTGATTGGCTCATTTTTGCTGGGGTTTACATATTGTGACGGCAGAGAAAGGGAAAGCGACATAAATATCATATTCAGATGTTCGTTCATTGGTTCATTTTTGCCGGGGTTTCATATTGTGACAACAATATGTTTTTATGATACAAAAGAGAAAGAACACCAAAACACTCGGTAATCTGATTAATACTCGGGGGCTACGCCCCCTCGTACAAATCAGATAACCTCGTGTTTCGGTGCTCTTTCTATTACTTATTTCTAAATCACAGTGTACTAGACATTTATAACAAGATACTCGTATAGCTGAACATTTTGCATTTCCGAATATTTGTTCAGCTGATAGATTTATCGCCAGTATTTAAGTCACTTAAAGGAGCTCCATTGAGGTCTAAAATCTTAACAACATAAACTTTAAAATTCTGACATAGATCAAGTGAAGCACTTGAATGGGAAAAAAATCTGCAACGGCTAATGAAGAAATGCTCGAAATTAAATAAAACCCCGATTTTTTTGTAATATATAGCCTAAATTGAGTAAAAAGCGTCTCAACGTTTTTTATTCTTTGGGTCATTTTGCACAATAAAAATGTTAATTCTAGAAAAATGGGATGACGGAATGACCTGAAACTTCGCACGCTAGTAATTGGTCTAGACCTGGTACAAAATTCTGTGAAAAAATATTGCCTGTCCCGTCATGTCAAAAAACCTCAGTGGAATCTCTTTAACGCCGGAGTAATTGTCTTGGATATTTATTTAGTTCCAGGCTAAGAAGACGGACGACCTGCAATATATTGACATAAACAAAGCACGGAAAAATACCCCATGATCATCAAGATATCGAAGTGACGAATCTGAGGTCTGTAAACATGGAGTTGGTTTCAAGTACATATATACATGTTGTTGGTTTCAAACACTTTTAAATGCAGACGAGAAATTCCTCGTTGTTTTGGGGGGTTTTATGTTTAACTAATCCGGTCTTCCGGGCTACAGACTTTTTGTGCTTATTAAGGTCCTGTGACTATTTTCAAGGAATACCTCAGGTACCGATCAGCATGAGAAGGCACCTGGATAAATAATCCGACCTTCCGTAAAGCTATCGTGATAGCTTCATTAAATAAAACAATCCAAAGTCACCGGCGCAATTCGAACCTACAGAAGTGATAGGTCAGCGGCCGTAATCACTCGGTCGTCCCAAATGCTTACTATTAGTTGCAATTTCATACTAGCTGCAATAAACGGGTTGCTGTTATATCTGGGTGAAATAATATGATCATGTATATTTACATATTTTCTATTTATCACATAAACACATGACTTCCTGTACGTATACATTAATATCATAGTTATCAAAACGTTGATTTAAGCTATATTTATTTATGGTAAAGTACAGTACACAAACTAATTTATGACAATTAGATCTTACCCAGGCAGGTATAATATTAATATATATACTTATGTATATATACCGGAGTCAGGTTAAACCTTTTCAAGCAAAAACTTTTATCAGCTTTTTCTCAATTTATAATATTGACCAAGCAGAAATATTTCCGCAGAATCCGACCTACTAGCATCCGGTTTGACTGTTTTAACTGTTGTAAACATTCTATTCATTACTTCTTTTATTTTGTTGGTTTCTCTTCCATCCCATAATTTACAGACCACGTGGCCACCAGAGTCCAACACGTGGCTGGAAAATTTCAAAACTGAAAGACACAACTGAAAAATGGCATCATGGTCATGTTCCCTATTACCAGAGGCTTTAGGTGCCATGTCACTTAACACAACGTTTGCATGACGACCGTCGAGCACGCGCAAAATTTTAGACTGCGTCTCTGATGTTGTGAAATCGCTCTTTGGAAATACGGTAACACCGTCAATTGGTTCAATATCTTGTAAATCAATAGCGATCACCATTCCTTGATTGTCATCATCTACAAGAAAAAAAAGTTACATGAAAGCTGATCAAATGTTAAAATTGTTAAAACATTGGTGTATGAAATGCATGTACATTTGTACATGTGAATTTGGATGAAAATGCATACATCATCCGCCTCTTAATTGGGAAATGTGAAGGATATATCTATCTTTCATTTCCAGTCACATGTACATTCTTTCACACCATTTCAATGTAGCAGTACAGCATATTTCAGTGTTAAATAGTTCAAAATAACCATTCACTTTAAAACTGCAGCGGTCTGCTTGTAAGCCGAAAAGTCATCTCTTTTCAGGCGCGGCCAATTGGAAGGCGTGCGGGACACGGCACATTTGGAGTGCACAGTGGTTGTTTAGAACGATTTGCAAGGACACGACACAGTTTTTATTGCAATATAAAAGCTTTATAAAACTTGTTTACAAATGTTTTTTTTTTTTGATATTAATTTTGATAATGCTTTTAACTGTCAGTGGTCTACTTTCATACAACAATAAGTTATTACGCCGTCACACCGGTTTTGCATGATGGACAGGCACAAAAGGCTTAGTATACGTTTTAACTCTATTCTGTCAGAACAAGTGAATACTGTCTCAATAAATATTTGATAATGGGCATTGATGTGCACGACTAACTATTACTCAACGCGGGGGGGGCTGGTGAGAGCAATGCCTATAGTATATTTGAGCCGTGTCACGACAAAACCAACATAATGGGTTTTCGACCAGCATGGATCCAGACCAGCCTGCGCTTCCGCGCAGTCTGATCAGGATCCATGCTGTTCGCTTAACAACCCTATTACAAGTACAGAAACTGATAGCGAACAGCATGGATCCTGATCAGACTGCGCGGGCTGGTCTGGATCCATGCTGGTCGCAAACACATTATGTTGGTTTTGTCGTGACGCGGCTCATTTGATATTGTCCAAATTATTGCCAAAATTAGACAGATACGTTTATCCCTCAATATCTGGAGAGCAAAGGCTAGTAACGTTGTTAATACTAGCTAAAAAATAAATATATGTTCTTAAAACAACTGCCACTGAAGTTGTTTTGTTGACGCTCCATAAACTGTTCAATCTTAACCTTTTCCCTTATATAAGCGTGTTTCGACGGCTTTTTGACCCCCCCCCCCCTTTTGAGGCCTCAAACAGTGAAAAAATGTCCTATTTAGACCCCAAACACTGTTTTTCGTTTGAGAAATGTTGTTAAAAAAGTGACCTTTTTTTCGGCGCCGTCCCCCATCCAAATAATACATCAGGGGGTTGCCAGAAGGGGGATGTGCCCCCTTCTGTTTGGGGGGTTTGAAGGGGGGCGGAGTCCCCCTTATCGCCAAGAAAATTTTGGACTTGTGAGAGGCTTAAAATGACCCCAGGTTGATCATAAGGTAACGTGTGACCAACGCTGAAAAGCCTTTGACTCTATCTCAATCCCTTTAGAAGTTGCAGCACTTTGAAGTAAATTTTGATGGAAAAAATCGAGGCAAAAAAGTGATTTTTGGCAATTTTGAGATGTCCCCTCGTTGCCATGGTAACAGGAAATTTAACACTGAGCATGTCGTTACAAAGGCAATGGTCCAGTCAACATGTGTGCCAAGTTTGATTAGTATTGAAGCATTTTTCATAGTTTCATAGCAGTTTGAACTTGTAAGAGGAGGCTTTTCAGTGAAAATGGCCATTTTTCACAATATCATGGGGGAAAGGGTTAACTAAAAAAATTATAAATGTTACAAAACAACAATTTTTCACCAAAATTAGGTAAAAGACCACATGTTTACATGGAAAAACTAGATTTTGGGTGATTCCAAGGTTTTTCATCATTTTTTGTTAACTAAAAAAATTATAAATGTTACAAAACAACAATTTTTCACCAAAATTAGGTAAAAGACCACATGTTTACATGGAAAAACTAGATTTTGGGTGATTCCAAGGTTTTTCATCATTTTTTGTTAACCTTTTCCCTTATATAAGCGTGTTTCGACGGCTTTTTTGACCCCCCCCCCTTTTATATGGCCTCAAACAGTGAAAAAATGTCCTATTTAGACCCCAAACACTGTTTTTCGTTTTAGAAATGTTGTAAAAAAAGTGACCTTTTTTTCGGCGCCGTCCCCCATCCAAATAATACATCAGGGGGTTGCCAGAAGGGGGATGTGCCGCCTTCTGTTTGGGGGTTTGAAGGGGGGCGGAGTCCCCCCTCATCGCCAAGAAAATTTTGGACTTGTGAGAGGCTTAAAATGACCCCAGAATGATCATAAGGTAACGTGTAACCAACGCTGAAAAGCCTTTGACTCTATCTCAATCCCTTGAGAAGTTGCAGCACTTTGAAGTAAATTTTGATGGAAAAAATCGAGGCAAAAAAGTGATTTTTGGCAATTTTGAGATGTCCCCTCGTTGCCATGGTAACAGGAAATTTAACACTGAGCATGTCGTTACAAAGGCAATGGTCCAGTCAACATGTGTGCCAAGTTTGATTAGTATTGAAGCATTTTTCATAGTTTCATAGCAGTTTGAACTTGTAAGAGGAGGCTTTTCAGTGAAAATGGCCATTTTTCACAATATGATGGGGGAAAGGGTTAACTAAAAAAATTATAAATAATTACTAACGGCAGTGCAGTCTGATTAAAATGATGTATATAAATAAAAAAAAATCGGACATTCTCATCGGTCTCAGTTGGTACACTTGGTCTCAGTTGGTATAGTTAAGAAACCCGAAGTATAAAAAAATTAAAATGATAAAGCGCTATTCGCTGATTCTTTTTTAATGGTATGAATGTCGTGCCACATAGTGAGTCTGACCCAGCATTTTCATTGGGTGCAAATTTTAAAAAATATAGGGAAGTTTTATAAAAATATTTCAAGAGTATATTGGAATAAATCTAAATATATCATAAAAGTCTATATAGATTATTTTGGGTCCGTTAAATAAACATTTTTGAAGTATCATTGTACACCAATTTAAAGATTATGACAGTTTCAAATTACAGGAAATCGCTTCAAAATCATGATAAAAATGTAAGAGATGATCATTGGTCTTTCATTTTTCTTTGCTGCACTTATCTGTCAAACATAAATTCCCCTAGATTTACTTGATCGCCCATTTTTTGTAAAGTCAGACAACTTAAATAACGTTTATTAAAAAAGTCGTCATGTTTGATGAGTGAATTATTTGCAATAAACATTATGTTTGATAAGTGAATTAATATTTGCAATAAAATTACGTAATTTATGGATGAACAATTCAATATTTTATGTTTTGCCAATATTTTACGTTCAAATCAAATAGAATAAACATCATATCCTATTTCTTTATCATGTAGTGTACTTCCTTACTAGTTTGCAATCTTAATAAGATATTTTGAAACCTCTACATTAAGCTTTTAAATTTGAAACGTATTTTGTAGTTCAAAATATAAAACGTATGGCGCTTGTTAGAGTTTATGTTTGGCAAGCCAAACGAGCTTATTTTTTTATTGGGTTTTACCTCACACCGACACAGTATAGGTCATTTGGCGACGTTCCGGCTTTACTGGTGAAGGAAGACCTCAGGTGCCCTTCCGTGAATTATTTCAGGCAAGAACGGGCACCTGAGTAGAACCACCGACGTTTCGTAAGCTAGTTGGATAGCTTCCTCACATGAAAGAATCCAAAGTCCCTATCGGGATTCGAACCCACAGCGGACGAGCTTAATTAAAATATCACAATGTAATATTTATAGCAGTAAGCATTATATCTATTTTGCAGACCAGCAAACATAATAACGTGAAATTCGTTTTCTAAAAACATGAACTTTTTTTAGTTAATTATAATGAGCTCCAGCCAAGCGCGTGTTTGTATGTGTGTCTGTGTGCATGCGGGTGTATATATTTTATATAGTAAACGGGTGCTGGATAGTAATTTTGTTATTGATGACAAAGGGGTGATTATTTGATGATAATTTGACTATTATTGGCATGGCAAATGTGCCGTACGTCTGTGATATTGAATGAATCTACAATCATATCTGTATTTAGTGCGTCGGTGTGTGCCATAATCCCTACAACTAGAGATCGTTTCTATATGCACGTACAGTGATACATAGGAATACGTAGTCCTAATTATAAGACCTATACGTAACCTATTTCATATTTATCATTCATAATAATTTCATTAATCTGATATTTTACATTTTTTATTTTCCATGTTACGTTAAAAAAGCCTTGATAATATAAAATGTAAAATGTCACAATTGACTTAAACACAATGTTAAATGTTAATAACTTAAATTTTTTCCACGGCTAATTATTTGGACTATAGAATACGATACGAATACTCCCTTTAATTAAATAAAATAAACTTGTTTAGAATTTCTGGAATCAAAATAAGACATGTACCTATACATGTTTACGCAGTCGCTGTCCCTTTTAAAGTTTTTACTCGTAAAATTAAAAAAAAAAACATTAAGAAAAAAAACGCATGTACCTAAAACACGGTGATAGGGCGTTTACCACAACTTTTCCGCGCAACGTCAAAATATCATACTTCTGAACGAGACACCGTATATTTCTGGACAAAATAATAATGGCGGAATAACCAAATTGCAAGTAATAGCTTACAAAATATCTTACTGCTGGACATTGCAAAATTATATCAATAGTTTAAGTACTCCATCGAATTTTTGAACCAATTTATCGTTAATCTAGCACAACACAATTCACAAAAAATTACATACTTCGAAGAAATAGTGTTTACAAAAGATCGTGTCTACCTAAACATGACTCGTACTTGTCACAAAAACATGTGTTAAAACAACGATGCATTTGTTCTATGACCTTACGAGCTCGTGTATACATTATGGTTAGGCATAAATGCAAGTTCCATACAAAATTGTGTGTTTCTATTGTAAATTTTAGAGAATATATGTTGTTAAATGGACTATTGACTCGAATATTGGAGCACCGTACAACACTGAATTTAAACACCGCATTCTTTTTCCGTTTGACCGATAAATACTGGAACCGTTTTCATTTGCACCATACTTTATAAGTGAGAGTTTTCCATAAAATAACATATGATAACAGCAACATAACATAACAGTAGGTAAATTAACAGTTACTTATAAAGTATGGTGCAAATGAAAACGGTTCCAAAACGGAAAAAGAATGCGGTGTTTAAATTCAGTGTTGTACGGTGCTCCAATATTCGAGTCAATAGGCCGTTTTACAACATATATTCCCTAAAACTTACAATAGAAACACACAATTTCGTATGGAACTTGAATTTATGCTTAACCATAATATATATACGGGCTCTTAAGGTCATAGAACAAATACATCGTCGTTATAACACATGTTTTTGTGACAAGTGCGAGTCATAATGAGGTAGACACGATCTTTTGTAAACACTATTTCTTCGAAGTATGTAAATTTTTGTGAATTGTGTTGTGCTAGATTAACGATAGATTGTTTCAGAAATTCGATGAAGTACTTAAACAATTGGAATAATTTTGCAATGTCCAGCAGTTAGATATTTTGTAAGCTATAACCTGGAATTTGGTTATCCCGCCATTAATATTTTGCCCAGAAATATACGGTGTCTCGGTCAGAAGTATGATGTTTTGACGTTGCGCGGAAAAGTTGTGGTAAACGCCCTATCACCGTGTAAAATTAAAGTTAACCTTTTTGTTAAAAAGATGCATGCCAGGGATTTGTTTCTCATTCTCGTTGTAGCTTATGTATAATACATGTAAGTAAATTAGTAATAATTAAATTATTACTAATTTACTTACATGTATTATATTACATAAATTATTAATTTGGGTCAATCTGACAAGTTCTGGTTTTATTTACATGCAGCATAACGTCATTTAGGCGCTGCTTTGAATCGGATTGAAACTTGGCATGTAAAATTGCTATACACAATGTATTTATTAAAATTCAGTGGAAAGGGACAAAACAACGAGCTGCAGTCTTGGTACAGGACTTTGTGCAAGGAAAAATATCACATATATTTCTATAAACATTGATTCAACCAGTCCCTGATTCAACAGTCATTTAATTTCGAGGAGAGACTCCGACTACTTACAACCATGTTTTCCCTTCTGGCGAATTCTTTCAACCGCGACCTGACTCCAAGATCCAGGACAAGCACCACAGTCAATAACTATATCTCCAGGTTTTATGATTTTGTAATTTCCGTCAATTTCAGTCAGTTTGAAAGCGCTACGGCAACGATAATTTTCCTCCTTTGCACGTCTTACGTAAGGATCATTCATTTGTCTTTCTATCCAGTCACGAGATGACTGTTTTCCTTTAAAGTTTGACGGTGTAATTTTCATAACAGATACTGACACACTAAAATTACGGGATGCATAATAAAATGACGTTGCGCGACCGGCAAAGTTGAAGGTAAACGGTAAAAGGGACCGAGTAAGAGTACAATTTGCATATTTAGCCCCGCCTATAAATAAAGCACGAATTTCTTATAAAGCGTTATCATCATGATTAAAATAGACTAAAAATCAGTGGAAATAATCAGTGTTACTGTATGTAAGTGCATATGCTTAATCCTCCTAATAAATTTATGCATATGTCTAGAAAATGGAAACAGGCTTTAAACTTCAGGACATACAACTGTAGAATAATGGTTTTTCATTCATATGCCTAATAATTTAATCAGCAGATGAACCTTGTTAGGATATCAAGTAAGATGATTATAGGATCATCTGAATGCACTTTGTACACAATGTATACTTATGTTCATGAAAGATATATGAGTAATCACATTTATAGAGGACCAAGAGATCATCTGCATGAACATATACTAGTTTTTATAGAAGATGCATGAGAGGTTAATGTAAGATGAGCAGGGAATCATCTAGATGTAAATATACATTAGTAGTGATGGAATATATATGAAGAAGGGTCATCTGGTCTTTAAGGTGTATAAACACTGTAGTTCTTAAAGAACATATGTGAGGGAAATACATATAAACATTTTTATTATGGAACAGATATAATGATAACTCGTAAGATGCCCAGGGGATTATCTAGATGTACATATACTATAGTTTTCATGGAACAGAAATAAGGGGATCACGTAAGATTACAAGATCATCTGGATGTACATAAACTTTTTTTCATTACATATCAGATGTAAGGGGATCAAATAAAAAGACCAAGGGATCATCTAGATGTACATATACTATAGTTTTTATTGAACAGAAATAAGGGGATCACGTAAGATGACCAGGTGACATTTAGATGTATATACTCTTTTTCATTCTGGAACATATATGAGGGGATCAAATAAATGACAAGGGGATCATCTATATGTACATAAACTATTTTTTTATTATGGAACAGATGTAAGGAGATCATGTAAGAATACAAGGGGAATATCTAGATGTACATATACTATAGTATTCATTGAAAATAAATAAAGTTATCACGTAAGATGATAAGGGGATCACGTAGATGACAAGGGGATCATGTAGATGTACATTTAATATAGTTTTAATTGAACAGAAAGAAATAAGGGGCTCACTCACAATGACCAGGAGATCATATAGATGTACATACTCTTTTTCATTATGGAACAGCTATGAGGGTATTACGTAAAATGACAAGGGGATCATGTAGATGTACATATACTATAGACTTCATTGACCAGAAATAAAGGGATCACATAAGATGACAATGGTATCATCTAGATGTACATATACTATAGTATTCATTGAACAGAAATAAGGGGATCACGTAAGGTGAGAAGGGGATCATCTAGATGTATATATACTATAGTATTCATTGAAAAAGAAATAAGGGGATCACGTAAGGTGACAAGGGGATCATCTACATGTACATATACTACCAGGAGATAATATAGATGTACATACTCTTTTTCATTATGGAACATATATGAGGGGATCGCGTAAAATGACAAGGGGATCATGTAGATGTACATATACTATAGACTTCATTGAACAGAAATAAAGGGATCACGTAAGATGACAATGGTATCATCTAGATGTACATATACTATAGTATTCATTGAAAAGAAATAAAGGGATCACGTAAGATGACAATGGTATCATCTAGATGTACATATACTATAGTATTCATTGAACATAAATAAGGGGATCACGTAAGGTGACAAGGGGATCATCTAGACGTACATATACTATAGTATTCATTGAAAAGAAATAAGGGGATCCATAAGGTAACAAGGGGATCATCTACATGTACATATACTACCAGGAGATCATATAGATGTACATACTCTTTTTCATTATGGAACATATATGAGGGGATCGCGTAAAATGACAAGGGGATCATGTAGATGTACATATACTATAGACTTCATTGAACAGAAATAAAGGGATCACGTAAGATGACAATGGTATCATCTACATGTACATATACTATAGTATTCATTGAACAGAAATAAGGGGATCACGTAAGGTGACAAGGGGATCATCTAGATGTATATATACTATAGTATTCATTGAAAAGAAATAAGGGGATCACGTAAGGTGACAAGGGGATCATCTACATGTACATATACTACAAGGAGATCATATAGAGGTACATACTCTTTTTCATTATGGAACATATATGAGGGGATCACGTAAAATGACAAGGGGATCATGTAGATGTACATATACTATAGACTTCATTGAACAGAAATAAAGGGATCACGTAAGATGACAATGGTATCATCTAGATGTACATATACTATAGTATTCATTGAAAAGAAATAAGGGGATCACGTAAGGTGACAAGGGGATCATCTAGATGTACATATACTATAGTATTCATTGAACAGAAATAAGGGGATCACGTAAGGTGACAAGGGGATCATGTAGATGTACATATACTATAGTATTCATTGAAAAGAAATAAGGGGATCACGTAAGGTGACAAGGGAATCATCTACATATACATATACTATAGTATTCATTGAACAAATAAGGGGATCACGTAAGATGACAATAGTATTATCTAGATGTACATATACTATGGTATTCATTGAACAGAAATAAGGGGATCACGTAAGGTGACAAGGGGATCATCTAGATGTACATATACTATAGTATTCATTGAAAAGAAATAAGGGGATCACGTAAGGTGACAAGGGGATCATCTACATGTACATATACTACCAGGAGATCATATAGATGTACATACTCTTTTTCATTATGGAACATATATGAGGGGATCGCGTAAAATGACAAGGGGATCATGTAGATGTACATATACTATAGACTTCATTGAACAGAAATAAAGGGATCACGTAAGATGACAATGGTATCATCTAGATGTACATATACTACCTGTATAGTATTCATTGAAAAGAAATAAAAGGATCACGTAAGATGACAATGGTATCATCTAGATGTACATATACTATAGTATTCATTGAACAGAAATAAGGGGATCACGTAAGGTGACAAGGGGATCATCTAGATGTATATATACTATAGTATTCATTGAAAAGAAATAAGGGGATCACGTAAGGTGACAAGGGGATCATCTAGATGTACATATACTATAGTATTCATTGAAAAGAAATAAGGGGATCACTTATGATGACCAGCGGATCATATAGATGAACACATACTTTAGTTTTCATTAAACAGAAAGAAATAAGGAGATCAGATAAGACGACCAGGGGATCATCTATGTGTACATACTCTTTTTCATTCTGGAACAGATATGAGGGGATCGCGTAAAATGAGAAGGGGATCATGTAGATGTACATATTCTATTTTTTATTATGGAACAGATACATTTAATAAAGGGATCACGTTAGATGACAATGGTATCATCTTGATGTACATATACTATAGTATTCATTAAACAGAAATAAGGGGGTCACGTAAGATGACCAGCGGTGCATCTAAATAAACACATACTTTAGTTTTCATTAAAGAGAAAGAAATAAGGGGATCAGGTAAGACGACCAGAAGATCATATAGATGTACATACTCTTTTTCATTATGTAACATATATGAGGGGATCGCGTAAAATTACAAGGGGATCATGTAGATGTACATATACTATAGTTTTCATTGAACAGAAATTAGGGGATCACGTAACATTACAAGGGATTATCTAGATGAACATTGACACTTTTTTCATTATGGAAAAAATATAAAGAGATCACATAAAATGACCAGGGGATTATCTAGATGGAAATATACAGTAACTATAGTTTTCATTGAACAGAAATAATGAAATCACTTAAGATTACTAGAATTTATCTAGATATACATAAACTCTTTTTCATTATGGAACATATGTTAGGGGATCACTTAAAATGACCAGGGTATCGTCTAGATGTGCATATACTATAGTATTCATAGTACAGAAATAAGGGGATCACGTAAAATGAACAGGGGATCATTTAGATGTACATATACTATAGTTTTCATTGAACAGAAATAAGGGGATCACGTTAGATTACATGGATATCATGTAGATGTACATTTTCTTTTTCATTTTGGAACAGATATGATGGGATCATCTAGAGTAGATGTACAAATACTATTGTTTTCATTGAACAGAAATATAGGAATCACGTAAGAATACAAGGAGATCATGTAGATGTTCATATACTCTTTTATATTAAGGAACATATATGAGGGGATCACGTAAAATGATGAGAGGATCATCTAAATGTACATATAAGTACTATAGTTTTCATTGAGCAGAAATAAGTGGATCACGTAAGATTATCGCGACGTTCCAGCTTTACTGGTGGAGGGCGACCTCAGGTACCCTTCCGTGCATTATTTCAGGCACGAACGGGCACCTGATAAGAACCACCGACGTTCCGTAAGCAAGCTGGATAGCTTCATCACATGAAAGAATCCAAAGTCCCTGTCGGGATTCGAACCCAAAGCAGTGAGGGGCAAGTAGTTTGAAGTCAACGACCTTAACCACTTGTCCACGGACGCAAATAGTATCTATACATCTAGATGATCACCTGGTTATCTTACGTGATCCCCTTACTTCTGTTCAATGAAAGCTATAGTATAATTATGCACATCAAGATGATAACCTGATCCTTTTTACGCGATGCCCTCATATCTGTTCCATAATGAAAAAAGAGTATGTACACATAGATGGCCGACTAACCTGATCTCCTTATTTCTTTCTGTTTCAGTGAAAAACTATACTATGTGTTCATCTAATATGATCCGCTGGTCATCTTATGTGATCCCTTATTTATGTTCAATGAATACTATAGTATATGTACATCTAGATGATACCCTTGCCATCTTACGTGATCCCCTTATTTCTTTTCAATGAATACTATAGTATATGTACATCTAGATGATACCCTTGCCATCTTACGTGATCCCCTTATTTCTGTTCAATGAATACTATAGTATGTGTACA